CCTCCCAACCCAAAGAAAAATAAACTGAAATTGAAATTGATTTAAATAGATTTTAAACTGAAATGCTCGCAATATGTAAATAAAAATATCAACTAAAACTTTTAAGGATTAAAAAAAAAAAAAATAAAATTCATATACCGCATGTCCCTGCTAATGCCACGATATGAAAATACATGTATATATATTATCTATTTTGGCAAATGGCTTACGAGGGACCTAATTTAAAAAAATCTGCATACTGCACATGATAATCTCAAATTTTGCTTATCCAATTGCTTAATCTAATTGCTTGCCGATTTAAAAAGGGTATTTTTAAAACCAACATTCCAAAGTACTCTAAGAATATCATATTAAATTTCAGGCACATATGGAATGAAAGAAATACACAGCTTACGCTTATTTGCAGGTGTGAACAAGTTGAATTTAAGAAGCTAAAAATTTTAATCTTTAAAAGTTAATTTACTAGCATGAATTGTAAAAAATAATTGATTTTATAGTGTAGCCTAAGATGTGTATTCCAGTGGCATAATTAGGCAAAGATATTAATGTACATGCTTTTCTGAATCAAGCAACAGAGTCTGGAGCAACAATAACATCCCAAAGCGGAAGGGGGGGGTCGCTAAACAGAAATTGACAACAATTAGGACTGTAAGATGTGTAGATACTACATGCTTGCCTATAGTATATAGCTAATCCACTGTAATACAGTATGTAAAAACTTGAAAATATTAATCCCTCTAACATGTCGTTTCATTACTTCTAAAGAAATTGACAAAGTACGACAACCCTTTCTGTTGCTCAGAATCATATCAGAGCCAGGAAATTAGAAGTGCCCCACAGAAACAGATTCATCAATATGTAACCAACGATTTTTTTTTCGTTTTCTCCATGATATAATCAATAGTTTATTAAAGATGCATTGTTTCAGCACATAACCTGCTTGTTTTTTTTTTTTTTTTTGTTTTTTTTTAATTGATGTGCATCTTTTCTTAAATTAAATTTTGGAGTACTACAGGGATTTGAGTTTTTGTTTACAAAATATACATAAGGTTTTAGATAGATTTCATATAAATATTCATAATATAATTTCCCTGTTCTGGCCTCCAGATCATTAAGCAATCTTAGACTTAATTCAAAATGTCAGTCAGTCATGAAAGAGAAACATCCTAAATTTTAATTGCGTTTCTATGGGGAAAAAAGACAATGCTAGTACTGAAAATACATTGCAAATAATGATTCTTTTATTAATTAACAAAGATCAATTTCAAGTCTTCTCCTTAAAGATATTATATGTATGAAGTCATAATCATATTTCTCGCCAATATTCGTTTTATTTTATTTTCTTTATTTATTTATTATTATTCTATTTTTTTCTGGATATAGATCTCAACATGAATCTATTTTTTTTTTAAATAAGATAGAAAGTTTAATAGCTGTTTTATTCATCATCATGATAATTTGTCAAGTCCCTTGAATAGCTCAATACCTGTTGTGACATTCTTAACGTCATCAATGCGAGTTTGACGTCGTCAATGTATCACAGATGTCGACTTCAATATATGCCTACGGACAAGATACAAGTTGTATCACTTGAAATAAATAAATGTCTCAGAATGAATATTACATTACAGAACTTAAATCATGAATAGATCCAAACTTAATAAATGAAATACTTTTGATGGGTCATATATGACCCCTGTCTGTGGCAGCCAGTTGGTAGAGCCCATATATGACCCCTCTGGCAGTAAGAGGGTCAAATAATTTTATATTCAGGTTAAGTAATATTTTACATCGAGGTACCTCATTAAATCGTTCTTTTGCAAAGGCATACATTAAATAAATCTTAACCAATTTTTTAATATAAATAAAGGATATGTTCCTTAAGTTGAAATGTGCTGCTGCTCTCTTTAAATCGAGAGGATGACTTTATAATTGCACAAATTATTTTGAAAAATTAAATCAGATTTCGAGATGGGTCTATTTACTAATAATTTTTACTATTAAAACGCGAATTATATTCAAAGCAGCAGCATTTTCCAAAAAGTACAAAGCATGCAGAAACAGTTAATAGCTTGAATTTTTAATTTCAACTAGCGTATGCCCTTGCGATATTGAAATTTGTTAATGACTGTCATTCAGTACACGTATTACACATTTATCACGTGACTGTCCATCGATGGGACCAAACTTCATACAGTGCAGAGTAGGTTAAACCATGCTATTTCCATAAGTATATTAAGTTCTGTGATAATAAAAACAGCTGAATAAAAATAAATTCAGTTTTATAAACAATGCCCGTTTTTACACTTCTATTTTCCGTTGATTTCAAATAGGAAGTCCTCGCGGTGCTGAGTAGGTTCAGTATAAATGGATTCTGAACATTGTCTTGTAATAAAAAAAATCATAATAATTGATGTAAAATAACAATTAGGAAATCATAATGTAACAAAAACAACCTACAAAAAGGATAAAACATCTTTGTGTTTAAGACACAAATTTGGAATAATGTTAATTCATGATATCCTTTGAAAACTAAAGTAAACAATACAATCACTGAAACGTTTGTATTTTCTATTTTTCTATTCGTTCACTGTTCGTTCAGTGTTCGTTCACCGTGCGTTCATAGTTCGCTCTCCGTTCACAGTTTTGTGTTCACCGTGCGCTCGCGTTCATAGTTTGCTCTTCGTTCCGTTTACTTTGCGTTCACTTATCGTTCAGTCTTTATTATCATTCGGAACTCCGATGTGAAAGGACTCATCTTTTTGATGAGGATTTACACGTTTTTTAATTAAATAACCAAGATATCGTGCTTGAAGAATAATTATTTCCTTGCAAAAAGTATTAGCGATATGTATATTTCTATTACTATAACTTAGCTGAACTTTATCCATGAAATTTCCCTGGAAATGATACATTAAATACCTACATGTATGTAAAACGATGCTCAAATTTTAAATTAAAAAAAGAGCAATGTAAAACAATACATTTATATATAAGGACAATGTACAAATACTTAAAGCACGGCAACATTTTGTTGTAATGTAAAAAACGACAAATACATTTAGTTGATGGATTATGGATGGATAATAATCCAAGCCTTTTTCAAGACAGGAACACACACACACACACACACAAATATTTCTAACAAGTATTTCTTTTTTTCAAAATGCACAGAAATATTAAGTTAATTAAATATATTTAGAGCGAATTAAATTGATAAGTGATTTTAAAATTTTAGAAAAGACCAACTGTTTTAATTGTAATATATTTGAATTTGTTCTAATTATATATATATATAATATAAAATTAGCAAGGGAAATTCCTTCCTTCACTTTAATTAAATATATGTTTGCCATTCAGTATGATTAAGAGCCATCCCCCTACCCCGGCGCCTTTTCTCCCGATTTCAAATTCTTAGTTGGTATCTTCAGTATATTTTAATTAATTTTTAATGTGTACTGTAACTCAAGAAAATCTGTCTTAAAACGAACATCAAAACAGTCATTAAACAATAGTATTTCATAATATACATGTGCCGACAGTAGTATTTTAAATTGGCAGGGAGTATGTTTCAAAATCAAATTCAACCTTAATCCTTCCAAGTATATATTCCCATTATTTATTCATCTTTTCCTGTAGAAATGCGAAAAATCAAATGTAAAAATTATAGGAAAAAATGTGAAAACTTCTTGGAAAAACTAAGTGATTCTTTGACTTCAGCATGTGAAAGGAGATTTCCAAACCTCCACTGTGTCGAATGATTTTGCTTGACAGGACAAGGACTTGGACTACGTGGGAACTGTTGGAACTTGGTGAAGGAAAATAAAAACCGATGATTACTGTCAAATGGATTTGTTAATCTTCAACAAAAATGATTACTTTCACTCCCGGAAATATTTAGAAAAAAATGATATGAATTTTTATTCGATACAACATGTATATGAGTAAGGAAGGGAGCTTAAATCCTTCTCTCTCTCTCTCTCTCTCTCTCTCTCTCTCTCTCTCTCTCTCTCTCTCTCTCAAGTCTCCCTTTTTCTAACATTTGTCCCATTAAATAAAAACTATGACAGCATTTTACTTATTTAGTTCTGAATAGTATGTTTTCTCTTCTGAAGTTCAGATTATTTCATTAATTAAAGGAATTAAACATATTTATTTTATCAATAGATTGGTTTTATCTTTTATGCAACTATGTACATGTGTTTGATAACAATCACACATGTTTTACAGCAATAAAAATCGTTTAATCTCCACATCCTTCTGTTATTAAAATATTGATTTAAAACATTATACGTAATTATGTGCAGAAAAAATGTTTTTATTATTCTTTCATTTATCTATTTATCGCTTATTCATATTGTAGCATTTAACATTTAAATACAACAGAATAGTTTCAATGCAAGGTAAAGATCGGAGGCATTCCGAATAAATCCTTCATCTTGCAATCACAGTTTGTTCACCGTTCACTTTGCGCTCATGTTTGCGCTCCATTCTCGTTCTTCGTTCACTCACCCCTCACACATCATTCATCAAGTTGCGTTCTGTGTTTGCACATCGTTCATTCACAGTTAGCCGTGCGTTCGTTCACCATTCGTTCACCGTTCAGGTGGGAAAGTAGTACTTTTCAAGGACTGTAGTGTAATATTTATGGCTATGTCTTCTTTCAGTTCGTTCACCGTTCGTTCAGCGTTCGTTCACCGTTCAGGTGGGAAAGTAGTACTTTTCAAGGACCGTAGTGTAATATTTATGGCTATGTCTTCTTTCAGTTTATGCACTGAAATATCTTTGAAAATATTCATGCAATTAAACGTTGGATATATTTCTAATGATATCATAATTCTTTTTATTACTTTTGTAAACCATGTGAAAATTCATTACATTTCTGGAGTCTTCTGCACTTATGTATGTTCCATTCATTCCTTTTTTACTGATAACAATTAGTGAAGAAAAAAAAAACGAAAAAACAACTAAATTAAATGGATTTTCTTTATTTTTTGTAGGTATCTTAGCTATAATCAAATTACCGTAGTACCGGAAAATGCATTCAAAGGTTTAAAAAACATTTCCATACTGTAAGTATAGCCTACATTTACTCAGTGTGATATTCTGTATGCAAGTGAACTAATTTAACGTTCATATGTACATAGGTGCATGTATAAACCACAATTACTTAAGAAAAATGTCTTTTTTCCATACATTGCTCATACATTTGTAAAATCTGTTATTGCTGGATGAAAAAGATCCTACAAACAAAAAGAACTCTCTGAACATGAAGGGTATAAAGCACTGTTCACCCAATGTTTCTAATGTTTGGATCATGTGACTAGGAGAATACGCGAGTTTCGAGATTGTAACTCTCCTACGATAGAGGCGCAAAAAGTATCCATTTCAGCATGGATGTGGGACAGTTTGTTTCTGTATAGATACCAATTGCTATTTCATTATTTATACACTGAATTGACGACGGAATTTTCCGTTATTTCCTGATCATGACAAGGAGCACACGGCGGGTGTGACAAGTCAGCAGAGGATGCTCACTCCTCCATGGTGCCTGATCTCACCTCTTATTTTTCGGATGTCCGTGCTTGCTCTGCTCCTATTTTGCATTGTTTTGTGGACTTTTATATTGAATACATGTACTGTTCGTTATCTCCATATCCTTTTTGGTTTTGAAACAAAAATAATGAACCATACTGTATGTTAAAAAAATACATTTCATGCGTTAATTCCACAAAATGTTTATTTACTTAAGTATCAACAGACATAACATAACTGCATTAAAAAGGCATTTTTTTTTCATTTTCAACAACATTTTTAGGCAATAAAACGTGAGATGTGTAACATTGTGTCTCTTTATTGTGCCCTTATTGGAACTATGATCTAGGAACACAATAAATTGTACAAAACAAAAGTAGATTCCACACGGTAAGTGAATCCCGGTCGCCCTTTTAAAGACTGGGTAAAATTGATAATTTCTGTATATGTGTAGTAAGATTTGTGTTTTCGAATACAAAACAGGGATCATATCTTTTATTCGAATATTGTCTGAAGCCCTTATTCCCATTTGAAAGATTATCTAATATAGTGTTAAAAGCAAAATTAGAGCTAGATCTACTATTGTCTCCTACATGCGATTGTTCACGCAATTAATTATTCAGAGGGAAAATCGACATTTAATTTTTTATGACATGGATAATTAACTATTATTAGAGCTATCATTACCTCACAATGTAGTTTCTAAACAAATGATATATAAAAATAACTATAAGTATCAATATTGATATAAATCAATTAAAGACATTGTTAAAAAAAAAAGATTATCTAGCTGGTCCTCTTTGACTTTAATAAGTCAAAAGGTACCAAACAATTCCTGACTTACGAAAATTAACTAAAGCAACAATATTTATGTGGATAAATGATAAAGTTTTGTAGATTTTAGTCCCGATGCTCACATTCATTTGAACATTCCAAATAGGGATAGTAATTATGTGATCATGTTTAACATTGGAAAATAATCTAGATGAATTGAAACAAAATTTCGTTTTACTAACATTCAAATAATTAGTTTTTCTTTAAAAATACAAGTAAAAATTGATGTGCACCTGATCTTGTCATAGATCATTGTCTGAGTATAGAATGAAAGCAGACTGGATTTTGCTTTTCTGCCTTAAATGAAATCAATTACTCCACATTGGTCTTATCCTTAAAGCCGACCCTACAAAACAAAGAAAGTTTTAACAAAGGGAATGTAATAGACATAGGAAAGTATTTGTCTAATTAACATATGGGGACAGTAGAAATGCACATGAACAGATTGAACATTTATTATTATTCAGTCTTTACACGTACTTCAATTTTACAATAACCGAAAGACGTATGTATGTTTTTTTTTTTCTAGATTTATAAATGAAAATGTTCAAAACGACGTCGGAGAAAAGACTTGTTTAGTCTTGTTTAAACCACTTTTTTTAGATTGTATTTCGTTCATCAATTTGAAATTAGTATATATTTATTCACGCTATACAGTGTTAACAGTTTAAAAGAGCAAAAACATTAAAAGAAGTTATTTTTGTATTAAAATATACTGGTGTTTTTGATGGAAATAAATTATCCCTTTTCATTACGTTTTTATCAAACTGGCGAAACAATAGTATTTGCTTGCACAGCCTGTGTTTAAAAATATGTATTTAGATTTTATTATAAGTAATGTGTATTCATTTGAATTTTTGAAATAATATCAGTACAAATACCATTGCAAACATTTGGCAACATGACATCAATAAGAAACTCTAGTCTGTAAAGATGAATATATACTAGCGGAAAAAAATGGGCATTATTTTATACAGGAATGGATAATAAAAATGACCATGAACAATTTTTTATATCTTGTTATACTATTAACAAATGCATTCATAACAACATTTCTCAATTCATTAACGTTAACGTCAAACAACGTCAATTCATGAACACTGGAAAGACAAAGGTATTCAAATTGGACTTAACAAAGTTAATATCGTGTGTGACCACCATTTGCATTAATGCATGCTTGACAGCGGCGCCTCATTGATGACATCAAAGTGTTCAGATATGCTTGGGGGATGTTGTTCCAGATGTTGATAAAATCCTGGCCTAAATCAGCAAATGTTAGTGGCTGATTCGGCAAATGACGTAGACTCGTTCCATTTCTTCCCAAACGTGCTCAAACGGTGATAGATCGAGGGAAACAGATGGCCAAGGCAAGATATCGACATGCTGTTGAACGAAAACGTCTCTCCCTACGCGTGCAGCATGTGTTTTGCTGAAAATAATGTGATTCTGCTGTCCCTATATGAAGGGTATCACATGGCGCTGAATAATTTTGTCTCGATAGCGCACTCCGGTTAGATTTTCATTGACAATTTGAAAAGGGGCCCTTCCACGTGCTGTGATTCCATCCCACACCATAACGCTTGTTGCCAGTGCACAACACAAGCGTCCAGTTACCGCTCCCCAATGTGACGATACTCTTTACAACGGCTGTCACTGCTATCTAAATGAAATCTGGACTTGTCCATGGACTGAATATTGGCCAAGTCCTGTAGTCGGAATCGCAGATGTTGACTGCACCATGCTAGTCTACCAATACGATAAAGTTGAGGTATTATCAGGCGAACATCTGGACATCTTGGTCTAAGGCTGTGCTGGCGCGGACGATTGTGCACAGTTCTTGGACTGATTGGTCTAGGTCCAGGATTGCTTCGAGTAGTCAAACTTGCTGTCTGAAAACGCTTTCTCAGGTGCACGAGTCTAAAATGATTGTCCTATCGACGCGACGTCACGCGAGGTCGCCAAGAACGTGGTCGATTTTGAGTGTTACCAGTGTATTGAAAACGTCTCCATAATGATTGGGTGGTGTTCCGATGAACTCCAATGTGTCGAGCAACGATAACTTTTGCTATTCCAGCTTGAAGCATCCCATTAGCAATATTACGTTGGTTTTCGCTGAGTCGTGGTATGACAAAAGGGTAAATTTGGTCAAAACTAAAGTGTTTTTCATTTCGAATAGAGACTAAATAAACCTTATACAGTTCTTTCTCCAAACAATTTTGGCCAGTTAAACTTGTGTAGACGAACACGTCAAAAAACAACTTGTGCTCACTAACCATAAAAAGTCCGTGCATCCGCTTTGTGTTTTATCCGATATTGTTTAAAAACATCACTTTTATCGATTGTTCACATTTAACTAAAGTAAGCAATAAATATAGAAAAAAAAACTTACTAAATTTTGTTATGCACAGTTTCTTTTTTCCGCTTGTATATACATGTAATATTCAAACTCATAAAATTATCATTAAATTAGATTTACATCAGACTCGGCCGTGCAGCTTGTGTATATAGTATATAAACTTTCAAAGTTCCGAAATTGTGTGTATATTATTGATTTTAATAAAATCATTGTTACAGAGGGTTTGACGGGTCAGAAGGGGATGCCACTCCTCCATGGTACCTGATCCCACCTCTGAGGTCCGTGTTTGCTCTGCTCCTATTTTTTTATTGTTTTATGGACTTTGATATTGAATACTGTTTGTTATCTCCATGTCCTTCTATTAAACATTTGAATATTTGTGACGTAGTTACATCGGGGCGTCATCGTTTAAAAACAGCCACTCCTACTTGTTTGCACTGCTGCAAACTTTAGCTATGAATTAATAGCATGTTGAAAACTATCATTTTCTGGCATGATGGCATATTGTTCGATTAATCAGGAACATTTAGTCTGATAAGGGTTTACAGCATCATAAAAAGTGTCAAAAAAGAGTTTGGGAAAATTCTAAGACTGTGCCAATGTTCCTAAATAAAAGTACAATTCAGAAAATGGATCGTAATTGACATTAATGCTGTCTCAGTAGCTCAGTCGGTAGAACGCTTCTTCCGTGTGTTCGAATCACACCCTTGACTGACCTAAAAATTTAAAACAAAAAAACAGATAACAACTTTTCCTTTGTAAAAGGCTCGACACTTTGAATTGAAAGTTGTGTGTCCTTCAGATGAGCCCTTAAACACCGAGGTCCCGTGTCACGGCGCTGTCACGCTGAAGAACCCTAACTGCTCATTGACCCTGTGTGCAGAGCAATAATTAGTGATATAATTAAAAATCAAAATTTAAAGCCCCTCGTCCGTCGGCAATGGTAAGGTCTCTATATGAATGGAAAATTCTTGAACAGGACAAAAAAACATACATACATCAATTAATAATTGGCATTGGAATAATAAACAAGAAAAGTTTACCAACACAGGGAGACATACTTTTTTTACCCGTTTTCAGGTGTTTATATAAAGCACTTTCATTAAATTATTTGAATATTTCATATGTAACGTTTAAAGAATATTTATTTTATTTTAACCATAGGGACATCGAGGGAAATCAAATAACTGTATTAGACAAAAGATTTATCAAAGATCTGCCTAAATTGAAAAGATTGTAAGTATAAAGTTTATTGTTGACATTTCAACAATAACAACATGGCAAGTATATGAAACCATATTTAAATTCCCCTGTAATCGAGGATTTGTTACCTATATACCGGTATTGTTCTGTTTTTCTCTCTGTCTGTTTTTCTGTTAATATGTTAGCAAAAATACCTGATCCAAAACCTTTTAATGTTTGAAGCTAGGACTGCCACACCTCACAGGCCTGTATCTAGAGATAAGAACTTTTTTGTACGAACATTATCTTATGCCCTTGCATTGGCGATTTACTAACATTTACAAACTAAAACTAATTTCAATCCTGGCCTAACTTTGAAACGATTGTGTTGGGCTTTTATAATTCTCATATGTAAACATGTATCATGTGACTAGACTTTGAAATAAATAAAGTAGACTTGTCTAGGTCTTTTTCAAGTGCTTTAGTGCAATAAAAGTAAATTCGTTAGACGTCATGATGGTATGGTCAAATATCTAACTAACAAAATACATATGTATAATGAATTCGTATCTTATAGAGCAGTAGAGAGAAACCCTCTGCACTGTGACTGCATCTTAGCAGAATTTCTCAGTTTTGCCAAATCAAGAAAGGTGACATTAAAGTATGACAAAGAACCTGAATGTTCAACTCCCGGTGATCTGACAGGAGTGCTGCTAAAGGATCTCTCATTAGAAGAAATGGGCTGTTATCTCACTACAACTACTAAAGAAGATCACACCATAGTAACAACAACATCACTGGAAACGTCAGGTATAATTATCTTTTCTTACTTTAATCCTGCACTGATTTGTCTGCGTATTCTCATAGTAATTCGGTAATAAGCACCGTTTAGAACTCAGCTGACCTTGAAAGGTAAGGAAGGTATTCAACGTATTCAACGTTCAAGGTATTCTCACAATAGAACAAATGGATTGCTATCTCACTACAGCAACAACATTACTGGAAACGCCAGGTAAAATAATCCTTACTTACTTACTTAAATCCTCCATTGAAATTTGTCTATGTATTCTCATAGACTTCCGGTAAGTGACACCTTAACAAACTCAACTGACCGTGATAGGTAAAGAAGGTATACAATGTAAAGTAATATTTATTCTGAATGGGGGCGACAAAGTGAGTTAAACAAAGAATCAAAATAAGCGGCTTAATTTGTGTTACCTATGTTACAAAGCGAAATGTAATAACAACGTGAAATGTTATAAACCTGGATTATTATATTTTGCGTCGAAATCAACGCAGAATGTAATAACGCAAAAAGTAACAACACATTTTGAAGAATTATAACATTTCGCGTTATTACATTTTGCGTCGAGATCAACGCAAAATGTAATAACGCAAAATGTAATAAAACGATTTTTGGATTATAACATTTTGCGTTGTTACATTTTGCGTCGAGATAAAGCAAAAGGCAGGAACGCAAAATGTAATAACACATTTTTTCGTCAGCCAGATTTAGTAAAATTTTCAATAGTGTAGTGGCCGATGAAAAGAAAATAAAACAAAAGAAAATAATAAATCGATTTCTTACAATTTATATTTTTTAATATATTGATTTAATTAGTTACATGTATTCTAAATCAGTTTAATTCATGCACTTATACAAAATGTGTTGCAAATTAGAAACATGCATCTGTGGGCAAGGTTGTTTGGGGGAATTGACCTGTGTGCTTTTGCTTATAGACAATTGCAAGGAATTTATAAAACATATTCATTTGTACTAGCAGGTGTCAATGTATAGCGGGAAGCTGTTTATTGACAATAATGATACCATACTGTTCCATGCAAAGCAACTAAAATCAGAGTCAGAAAAACGATACATTTTGAGGTATTTATGTCCAGAAAAAGCCCTAACGTTGATCTCATTGTTTTAGTTCAAAAATATTTTACAGCGTGTTTCCCATGTTGGTTACATGTATATATTTGAATCAATTTTATTATGTATATATTTGAATCAATTTTATTATCTTTTTTTGTTCAACGCAATCAAAAATATTATTTATATTTTGTTTTATTTTGTTTTATTACATCATGCTTTATTACATTTTGCGTTGTCTTCAGTGTAAAAATAACTTCCGCTTCAGTGTAAAAATAAACGCAAAATGTAACAACAAAAAAGCACGTTATTACATTTTGTGTTGATCTCGACGCAAAATGTAATAACGCAAAATGTAATAATCTAAAATTGAGTTATTACATTTTGCGTTATTACATTTTGCGTTGATCTCGACGCAAAATGTAATAACGCAAAATGTAATAATCCAGGTCTATTACATTTTGCTTTGTTATTACATTTCGCGTTGTAACATACCTACTTTTCTTAAATGTATTCGGTAATATCATTCATATTTTATGAATTAATACTGCTTATCTATAGATCTAGGAGTTAACTAATCTTCATATATATCCTGCAAGGTAAGGATACTGTACATGGTACCAAATAGGTAATTATTGTGTGATTACCCAGGGAATTGGCTGAAGAAGGTCCATCCTCAATGAAAATCTAAAAAAGGAACTTGTATAGTCACTGATATCGAAATTTAGTTAGCTTGTCATTAGATATTCTGGGGTTGAGGTTCCAGGCTGAAATTGATTCTTGGAGGTCACGTATACTTTGTATACTTTGTAAAACAAGAAAAGGCATTCTATTTTTAATTTAAAATTTTTAACTTAAAATTTGAATAAATTCTTCATTGCTTATCTTGTGACAGATGATCAAATGGTTATTGACAAGAAAAATGTCCAATTGCATTATTTTGCACTTTGCTTTGAAAATAGTATGCGCAGTCGTTATTGTCGGTCTTGACTCTGTAAAACATTGTAACGATTTTTTGGATATTCTTAAACAATTTTTAGAGAGTTCCACTGAACATGTGTAGATACAGAATTCTGGATCCGTTCCTAAATAAATGTGTAGACACTGTAGATACACTGTAGAAACAGAAAGACGGAGTTAACGTTTGTCTAATTTTCAATAATAAGATTTTTTTTTTAAGTAAAGGTTTGTCGGTGGTGTAATATGAATTTAAAGCATTGGTTACCTATTGTGTAAATCTCAATTTTATTGTCTGGATCACCAATCCATAATCCATATAACCACTTTCTAAATCTGGTGACATAGTGCACATCAATATGACCTTTTTCTTGCGCCTTAATAAGTCTCCTTTTATTATGCTTTGTAATATGGATAAATATTATACAATTGATCTCTAAGGTTTTATTTTGCTGTATTTAGCTGTATATATTGTGTATAGAATAAATTTATCATTATAACTGTAACTTGATTGGAAGAGCCGTGTCACCTCTTGTTGACAGGCGTGGATCATCAGATCAAACTCGACGCTAAACGTTTCGTTTGATCTCAAATGTTCCGCCCCAAGACTTGACGTGATCAGACGCTTCGGATAAAGTTACTGTTATATTAATTAATATTTATTTTGTTCATCGAGAAGCAAATCCAACAAGGTATTGTAGACTTTCTTATTTGATCAATCAAGTGTGTACGTCCCTTAATCAGATTTTCAAACTATCTTGTTACATACAAACAACTATTCTTATTTTAATTTATGTTGTATGATTAGTATATCTAATATAGCTTAGATACAATTGTAAAAAAATACAATAATTGATTATGCAATAAACGTGATGCGAGAGCTTGAAATTTTATTTTTAAATAAGTTTGATGGCAGGTGTACGGTCAATATGCAAGATGAATCTAAAATAAAAGAATAAAATAATTTATTGGATTAACTTAAAAACTTTCACATCAGCAAGGGCCTTTTAAAATGAATGTATGTTTTTCTAAATCAGTAAAAAATTTAAATAAACTTAAACTATTAAGTTTATTTTATTTTTTTTACTGATTTTTTTTTATTTAAGCAATTCATTTAAATCTCCTTTTTGTTTAAACGGGGGTTGAACTGAAATAAAAAAAATAATAATACTAATTTGTAAATGCGATAGTGCGCGAAATTACACCTGTTCGATCTATTTTATATGGAAGTCTGATCCAATTCGAAACAGGCGATATTCTGTCATTATTTTGGCCGTATGATATCGGTGACGGTCATTTGAAATTGAGTAATACATAATATATGGTGGTGTTTGTTTTGCTTATGATTACATTTTATGGTAATGAAAATTTTAAGAAGTTGTCAATGTATGTCTGACTCTGATTTTACCATGACTATGAACAGCGTGCATCCTAAAGTAAAAAAAAAGTTAATCCGAGGATTTTAACTCATTCGAAATAAATATCACAAACGGTGATTTTCGACTCTGATCAATGCTTGAGCCTGTTTGGTTAAAATGAATTATCATTTTCATCTGGTGCAACAGGTAAGAAAAAATAAAATAGAAATCACAAAAGGCATTTCAAGGTAGAGAGAGAGAGAGAGAGAGAGAGAGAGAGAGAGAGAGAGAGAGAGAGATCTTATCTCTGATAGAGAAAAGGGCAATCTAAGCAATTTTAGCCGATATATTAAAGAACAAAAATTACCATTACAATCGCAAAATGGAATACAATCACCGTGTTATCATTATAATTTGTCAAATTAGTCGTCTATATAAGCGATACGACTCCATATATATTTTTTCTGTTTCCGTTAAGAAGAAACAACAACCTCATGGAGTTTGGCTACTATGCAGGTACATGTAATATATATAATTTTTACAAATTTTTCTTTAAAAAAAAATAATTCTGTCAGTTATATTTTAATTTTAACATATGAAAGAAAGTCAATAAAACCCAGGTGAATTATCAACATGTGTAATATTAAGTATATTATGTATTATATTCTATTATATCCTGGTTAAGTAATTTTGTGATAAATGAAGAATTCAAACAGGTAAGAATTTGATATATTCAATTGTATTGTTAGCCTTTGTTCATTCATATTTCAAGACCAAGCTAGTTACATGTATAAAATTGAAATTAATTTCAATTCGTTTTTCATGGTATAAACATTCAAATGATCTAAAACACATTCAAATGAATTGCTTTTTAGTTTAGTAACAGTTTTATTAAATTCATCAAATATAACATTGAAAAAGTAAAATATTTTGTTTTCCTGCCTTAATAATTTTGTCTCATATAAATAACTTTGCAATATTGACTAGTATATACAAATGCATGGTGTCTTGCATGCGAGCAGTAGCTTTCGTTTTGCATGATTAATTTTAAACAGTTCTAATTTACTTTTTGGATGCTTTTTATTCTAAAAAGATTCATGCATATATATATATATATATATATATATATATATATATATATATATATATATATATATATATATATATATATATATATATATATATATATATATATATACATATATTAAATTTGCACAGAATAAACTTTTTACCAATATTCAATGTACCATTCCCTTGTAAGACTTTTACCATTAAAGAAATTTGTTTTTTTTTTTTACAATAACTTATCTGATATATAATGTATTACGCAAAATAGTAATGTTTGCTTTACAAATTTTATTTGATTCTTTGTCAATGGCAATCATATGGTTATTGATAAGGAATTTTTTTTAATCGAAGATTCCTTGCTATGTGAGTATTGTTTTATTGTCAGTATAATGATACAATGCATCTTTAAAATGTTGATTTCAATTTTGAAAGATTTAGCTGTCGGGAACTTTTTTTAATACAGGGATTATTGAAAACTGCAGAATCCTTTTTTTCATTATCTATAATAAACTTGTATTTTAGACACCATGATCATATGTTCAGTGCTGTTCTCACATATGTTTTTTCGATGTTTTCAGCCATCTCGATTCCCGTGAGGTATGTATATAATTTGTATTTTATTGTATGTTGTTTATCATCCCATTAAAAAAACACTTATATCAACGTCACCA